AGGGGAGGGGAGGGGAGGAGAAAGGAAAGAAGGTTGGTTATATGCCTGTAATCACAGCACTTGGGGGGTTGGGACAGGAGGATTAGGAACTTGAGGCCAGACTGGGCTACACAGTGAGACCGTGTCTCAAAGAAAAAAGAAGAAGAGTCAGGCATAGTGGTACCTGCCTATAACCTCAGCATTTGGGAGATGGAAGCAGGAAGATCAGGAATTCAAAGTCATCCACTGCTATATAGCAAGTTCAAGACCAGCCTGGGACACACGAGAGCTTGTCTCAGAGAAAGAGGAGGAAGGGGAAGAGGAGAAGGAGGAGGGAGGGAGAAGGAGGAGAAGAAGGAAGGGCAGAAAGATGGGGAGAGAAAGAGACAGAGCGGTCTCAGCAGACATGGAGATCCTGCTACAACCAGAGGGGCCAAATCACTGACTCGGTACTCTCTATTCAATATGTCCTTTCTGTCCATCAAATGCCCCACCCATGCCTCCTGCTCCCCATTTCTCCAGCCTCAGATCAAGTTGCACTTCCTCCTCCTAGGATAGCCCAATGAATCCAGCCAATGTGATGCCAGCAACTTGACCCTACTTAGCTTTCCTTTCCGGGTCTGTAACAGTGCTTGCATTCATGAGAGCTCTTCAAGGTTGGTCTGGACATCAGACTTTCCCCAACCCAGTCTACACATCAGGCTCCCAGAAAACAAGGTTCCTTTGTTACATACCTACTCTAACAGTCACCTTAAAACTGCTTCCTGAAAAGCCTTTTTATTCTCTGCCTCCAGTTTGGGGTTTAGGGATTTACTTTATTTTGTGGGTGTATGCAGTGCTGGAAATCCAACCCAGTTTCAAGCATGCTAGGCAAGAGTTCTCAAGGCTGGAGATGCAGTTCAGTGATAGAGCACTTGCCTTCCCCGGTGAGGGTCTGGGCCTCAGTGGTAGAGTGCCTGCCTGCCATGTATGAGGCCCTGGGTTCAATCTCTAACACTGCAGAATAGCAACAACAAAACAATGGGAAAAACCATCCATATAATTGGGCTTGTTTCCAGCTAGCTCAGTTTAGAGATTCAAACACAATAGATCTACACTAAAATTTGTGGCCAAAACTTCAGCTGAGGATCAATAAGATAGGTCAGTGGTAAAGGCACTTGTTGCCAAGTCTGACTTACCTGAGTTCAGTCTCTGAGACCCACATTGTGGAAGGAGAGAACAGACTCCTGCAAGTTGTCCTTTGACCACAAGAGAATGCCCACACTCACACACATATACATCACACACATAAATGCAATGAATAAATAAGTAAATAAATAAATGCAAATAAAACTTCATTCAGCTGGTACTCTTTCCTCTTTTGCCTTACTCTCTTGTTCAGGTCTGCTTTGGGTTCTTCAGTGGGTGACTGGCATCATGAAGAATTCAGGGACACTGGGACCCAGATATAACCTCCTTACACCCCGAAAATGTGACCAATTCCAGGCCTCAGGCTGAGTCTGAAGAGTGACCCATTTATAAGAGATTTTTCTTTTTAAAAACTTACAAGTAACTCTACACAAAAATTGCTCACAAAAGCAGGACAAGAGAGTCCTAATTTTGCAATATACAGTTCAAAAGCCATCCACCCATGCTGAGAAGGCTCAGGGGAAAAGAAATCTTCAAACGACTCCCTCACCAAAGAGAAGATTTGTGCAAGGAGCTGCCCCACTTAACAGGTTCTTGGGTCTCCCCAGATATTGTCAAGATCAAGATGGCCAGCGACCTCAAGGCCACCACACAGCGTGAGGCCTGCCTGCCCCTTTTGACTTTGCTTGTCCCCCTTTCCTTAGACTTTCAAAGATTTTCTTCTTTTCTCTATTTCTTTAGAGATGAAAAACTAACAAGATCTGCCCCCTCCCAGTCACCACCATTACAGATATATATATATATATATATACATATATATATATGTCATGCAATGCTCGTGATATAAATCATAGGGTGGAATTGTTGATCTGCCCATGGGCAGGCAATGAACATGAATGTGGTAAACCCCTCCATGATAAAAATATTCTGTAAAGATTACATCTATCAAGACAACATGACCTGTTTTCCAAACTTTTTCTTCGGATATGGGGTCTTGTTATATGGCCCAGGCTGTCCTTGAACTCACAATTCTCTTGCCTCAATCTGCTCAGTGCTGAGATTACAGTTATGTGTCACTGTGCCCAGCCTAATCTTGGGTTTTTGTTTGTTTTTATTTTGTTTTGAGACAGGGTCTTTGCTATGTCACCCAGGCCAGCTTTGAACTTACCATATAGGCATCGTCCCCACCTGCAATGCCACCAGATATCATTTTGAGTCTGATGGAGTTTATTTCAAAGCAAACTTGAGAGCCTGGAGAGATGGCTCAGCAGATAAGAGCACTGGCTGCTCTCGTGAGGACCCAGGTTCGGTCCCAGGCACCAACATGACAGCTCCCAACTATCTATAACCCTAGTTCCAGTGGCTCCAACACCCTCTTCTGGACTCTGCAGGCATTGCACAAATGTGGTGCACATATATACATGCAGACAAACATACACATAAAATAAAATAAATGTTTAAACAAATGAATAATAAAAGCCAAACATGGGCCTTGAAATGTAGCTCAGTTGCCTAGCAAGCAAGAAACCCTGGGTTTAATTGCCAGCAACACTTAAACCAGGAGTGATGGCTCATATCTG